GATTTAAGTTATGCGGTATTTCTTTATGTTGTGTTTTCATTATTTTATAAAAAAAAAAAGGAAGGAGGGGGGGGGGGGGGGGGGGGGGTTTTTTTTTTTTTTCATATCACAAATAAAGAAAATCTCAGATGGCATAATATTTATATATAAACTTTGTTTATTAACAAAAATTTTTTATTAATAAACTCCGGGTCTCCGGGTCGATTTTTAGATTTCAATGTTACGTGAACCGAAAAATCGAAGTTGCATGGCCTTAACACTAAATTTGTTAATTTATTAAAGTCAAAGCAATCATCTCAATTTTTATAAAACTCAAATGCTTCTAATATTGAATGAGGTTCCAGAAATACTTTTTTAACAGCTAATTCTCTGTTTCTAAACTCAGAATCACTTTTACTTGCTTCAATATAATTTTCTCAACTTTCAGAGCCTCACCATTTGGCTAAACCTTCCTTACTGGGCAATTCTTGCTGCTCTTGCTCATAATTAACATTAACTTTTGGTTGAATTTGCTTAATAAATTTTTTAATTTGATTAATAGTATTTGCTTTTTCTAAGTTTAATATATTATTTTTTATTGTGGCCAATACGTGTTCAGAAGTTAAGTCTCCTTCTAATTTAATACGACCTAAGTTGTTAGTATACTTATAAAGCATAGGAGATTTTTGGTAAATAAATTCAGTTTCGCTTAACTCTTTGTAAATTCTTTTTAAATTATTTAAAGTTGCGTGAGCTTTTTCGCTGCTTAAAAGCATACTAGTCGCAGAAATTTCAGTTGTAAGTATATATCCAGCCAGTTTTAGGATTAATGTTTTGTCAGTAGGTTAAGTAGTTCTGCCAAGTAGCAGTTTCCAAATTTACCAATATTTATAAGATGGTTTTAACTTCTTGGATGTTTAACTCTTTCACTTTACGGTCAATTTATTTCACCGCTTTTTCTCCTGCTTCACTCACAAAAGTAAATAGTTTGTTGATTATTTCAGTGATTAATTCAGAGTTTTTTTTCATCACTGTTAGATTTTGCTGCTTTGCGGTAGGCTTTAATTAGGACTTTAATTTCTCCTTCCAAGCCAATTAGTTGGAATTTTTCACCAATTGTTTTATAATTAAGTAATTCTATTAGATGGGAAGCCTTTAATATAGAAGGGTTTCATTCTCCAATTTGCTGCTTAATTTTTTCAGTGGCCGCTTTTTCTATGACTTGAATTTCTTCAACAATTTTTTCAGCTTAGTCAGCTTTATAAATATTCTTCATTTAGAATATCAATGGCTTGAATTAACTCCTTTCGGATGACTTGGAGATTTTCTGTTGCAATTCTTTCACCTCAACAAATGGTTGAATAACCCGCAATCAGGAGCGTTGTTCCATTAAAATTCTTTCTAATCAGTTTTGTCCAAAATGAGTTTTATCTTTTTTTTAGCTTCGCTTTTTTCAAAATCAGATGAATGGTTGGACTCATAATTAAGTGCTAAGGCTTATTTTTCGCTCATATTATTACCAAAATAGGCATTCCGATAACTGTTAGCTTGTCCTTTGATATCTTCAATTAGTATTTTATGCTTAGTATCCAAGAGTTTTTGGACAACTGCCCGATTTTCTTTAAGGTTAAATTTTTGCAAAATTGCCCAATGCATGTCTCATTGCAAATAATTATTAGTAATTTAATCAGCTCGTCTTTCACCGCTTCTTGCTAGATATCAGGCTAAACTAACATTATTCGCCTCATAATTTCTCCTATTTTAAAGGGTTCCACAAATTTTAGAGCTTGATAAAAGTGTTAGTTGGTTTTTCAATTTTTGAAATTATAAGTGCTTTTCTTAGCCTAAGTGGGGGATTCGACCGAATCTAAAAAAAGGAAATAAAAAAAAAACATTTAAAAATAAATATTAAATAAATAAAAATAAAATAAAAATAAAATAAAAGAAAGAAATCATCAACGGCTTACCTTCGCCATGGTGACAGACTGGTCAGTTCCGTTTAATGGTTCCGTCTGGTTCTTAGCCTTAGATAGGTAACCGATAGAACCTAAAAAGAAAAAAAATAAAGGAAAAATAAAAAGTTTGTAAATAAAATAAAATCTGTTCATAATAATAATAAGATAAAAAACTAGAATTTTAGCAAAAATAAAGTTAATTCGTTCCCTTCCACATTATTATAAAAGAAATTTATTAATAAAATAAAATAATTAAATTAAAAATGTTTGATACTTTAAAACCATTAAAACAATTAAAAATTTAAAAAAAAGTATAATATTTTATTTTTAAAAGAAAATACATAGCAAAATCTAATTCTAACTTTAATCTTACAAACAGGATTCATTTATTAAGAATACAATTTCAAGTATTTGTATAGTATGTCATAATTGTATAGTTTTAGAAACTATACAAGTACTATTTGTTATAGAAAAACCATAAATGTATAGCTTTTAAAGAATATACATACAGTACATTAAAAAAATGAACCATACTATATAGCTTGTGTAATTCTACAATTTTATTTTTAGAGAATTTGTCAATATCTGACTTTCAAAAGTTCAAAGTCGAAAATTAATGTTGATTAGTAACTCCTGATGACATTAATTGAGAAAAGTTTGCGATGATATTCAGATATTCAGCTCATCAGGAAGAAAATTGTTGTGATGATATTTAGCTCCGTTGAGAAACAGTTTACAATAATATTTGATAGGATGAAGTTTTTAGGACGAAAAATTATTCTAATTTGCATTTGAATAATAAGTATAAAAATAAAAAAAATTATAATAGATTGATAAATTATTTCGTTTATAAAAATTTATACTACCTTGAATCCGACACGTCAAGCATTCAGATCTGCAAAAGATTCCCACATAAGTATTAAGTAATTTTTTTTTTTCTCCTCATAATAAATTTTTAGAGCTCATTTACCTACGCCAGCAAAAAAAAATCATGATGCTGGTAACTAAAAGGATCGTTTCACCAACTATTTCTATGAGTCCTCAGTTGTATCTTCAACACATTTTTTGGGAATAAAAAAATGACGAAATTATTTGCAGAGATTGCGTTAATTCTTTACTTGCTTCGGCAAGTAGGTGGATTTAAATTTTTTGAGCTATTTTGATGAAATCATTTTTTTATATTTTTTTAACAATATTAAATGGCGTACTTATCCTGTTTTTGTTCGATATTTGTAAGATAAAGAATACTGTCAGAACCACCAGAATAATACTTTACAGACCTCTGATAAAACTTGCTTTCTTTTTATTATCTGTATACCTAATATTTGTATTTTTACCTATTCCTGCGTTTTAATTATATTTTGATTATTTTGTAAGGATTTGACGAGACGGAACTTTTTTGGTCTGACTTACAAGTCTTTGCATGTGCATGTAATGGAGAAGAGCCGACCTTCGAGAGGAGGGTCACGCCGTAATATAGCTTAGTAATTTGCACTTGAGAAGATGTGGTCAATGTCCTATGAATTTAGGTTTCATTAGAAAAGTCACCCGGGGTTCGTAGGGATGCCTGAGTACGGGTGTTGATGAACGGCTATGGTAGTGAACTTACATTCATTTCTTGCATATTTTTATACATTCCTTGTTTCGAGACCTTTCGATGTCGTCGTTTGATTTCCCAAAAAATCACATTAAATGCTAATTGGGTATTTTAAAGTTTGGTTCGCAATTATTCATTTTATTGCCTGGCCGCATATCCAACAGCGTACATTTTAATTAAATAAAAAAGATTCATTATTTTCCTTTTTGGTACGTACACTATATGAATGAATGTCTTTTATGCGTATTATATACATCATAAAATGTTATAGCTTCAATTAATTACTTTTGTTATGACAATCTTTAGACAAGCTTTTGTCATCCTGTTTATTAAGTTACAACAAAAATTTTACAGTATATTATTAATAAAAATTTCCTATTTTCACATCAATTACTTAAACATCAAAGCAGTTTCTTATTACATGAATTTTTCAATTATTTGGGTTTCCGGTCATCTCTTTCAGGGGAATGCACTTACAGTATCTTTTGTTTAGATAAATTCCACAATGTGGAAGTTTCAAAAAGAATCACATTTATTGCGGAAGATAACAGCTACTGCATGATGGGTATGTAATTGCGTCGTATTTCGTCTATTTAATATCACTTGGATTAAAATATCTCTCTCTCTCTCTCTCTCTCTGACTTTTCGGCTATAGACTAAGACTTCAGAGGCTTCAGACAAGTTCGTTTAACGTACATCAAGCTCCACAATCTTCATATCAATACAGGTCCCTTAATCCTCCCATGCCAAAATTAGAACCAGTTTTTGAGATCGATCCAGAGATTAGTCCAGGATCTAATACTTAATCTAATAGAGAATGTGATTCCTAGAAGGAGTAATGCTTCATCTGTATTCGATTCTAATGAGGATTTCCTGATCCTACAATATTCACACCACGCGAAAATTCACGAGTTGATTATATAAAAGAAATATTTTGCAAAACAAAATGTATCAACAATTACAACGTTAATAATATTACACTAAACCTAAGCTGTATTGTCGTACATATATAATCATACAAAGGTTTGTTATTTTTTTTTTTTGCAAAAAATATAAATTTTTTGGGACCCAATAATTCAAGAAAAAACTAGTGATGGTTGAATATTATACCTTTCTGAATTCAAATACTTCCACTGTAAAACTTCCAATGCTACCTAGTACGCTAACTACAGCAGCATCTATCGCAGTACAATCTCGAACTGAATTTAGCATATCAACCATTCTTAAAATTCCATCATCTAAATTTTCTAATGCGCATGGTTTCTTCGTTCTTATTGGCTATTACTAGAGGCAGGGATGAAGCTGAAACGGAATCGAAAAATTTTTTTTTATAAAAAAAATATAGATAATGAATAAAAAATGGGTTAAAAAATTATTTGAAATTTTAATAAACAATCTTTTTTATTAGTATCTATTTTACCAAGTGTGCTGAATAAGCTAAAAAAACTTACAATAAATTTACTTTGGTTTCATCCATGTTAACCAGTAGAAATACCTTCATAGAAGTCTAACTTGTACCGTAAATTGGAAAGACCTTTTAAACCTTGAATTCTTCTTTCACGATCATCTTGATGAATTCCGTAAACTTGGTTATTTTAATATCTCGTTAAGATAATGCATTTGTTGAAGATCTTTGCGAATGATCTTAAATATTTTGTTACTGTATTTGTATCATCTTCAGTCTTTTTGGTCTGTACCAAGTATTTCAACACCAATCTCTCCAAATTTAAGGTTCCTTTCTGTCTTTGATTAGCCAATAAATTTAAACTTTCCGCTTCTATTAAATAAAACTGAGTATATAGCCACGAAAGTTAAATACACGTTCCTATCTTTTTAAATATTGATAAAAGAGGCAGTATTAGAAATTGAAGAATAAATAAAAGAATAAAAGTATTATTCATAATAATAATATTATAGAGAACCTTTTAACGAGACAACTTTTTTTTTCTCCACTAACTAAGGTTGAAATTAATAAAATATTTTAAAATTAAACTACTGCTTGCATTAAAAGATATTATAAAACCTCTTATTTTTTAATTATTTTATTTAGGCATAATACCAGATAAAGACATTTCCAAGATAATAACTTCTCAATAATTTATTTTTGAAAATCTGTAATCATGATGAATTGTAAAAATAAATAATAACGTGTCAATAATTTATTTTTATTTTTAGAAACCAGTAATCACATGATCAGTTTGTATCAATAAAAAATAACGTGTCTCAATAATTTATTTTTAGAAGTAACTATGATGATTTGTAAAAATAAATAATAACACGTCAATAATTTATTTTTATTTTTAGGAATCTGTAATCACATGGATAAGTTGCATCAATAAAGAATAATGCGTCTCAATAAAAAATAACGCATTTCAATAATTTATTTTTAGAAATCAGTAACCATGATGAGTTGTAAAAATAAATAATAACATAACTTTCAATAAAATAGATCAGTGATGTAAACAAAACAAAATGTATTTATAATTGAAAAATAATAAATTTATATAATAATATTTAATAAAAAAAGTATATATTTTGATTAATTTAATTAAAAATAAATTTTATTTTATTTTATTTTTTGCTTCATATGTTTCATTTTTTATCAATCGCTATTTTTAATCCTTAAAAATTTATAACTGTATGATAATAAATTATTTCCATCATTTCTAAAGTTTAAAATGAAAAAAAAAAAATGCTGAACAAGACAAAAACCCAAAAAAATGAAATATTTTTTTAATATTTAAATTTATTATTTGAAATTAAAATCATGTTTCATAATCAATTATTAATAGTAAATGATCCATTTATGTTCTTTTGACAATAAAAAATATTTTTTAAATTATAAAAAATTCACTATAAATTTCTATAATTTGTTTCAAAAATAGATAAAAAATTCACAACTTAATAAAAAAGAAAGAAAGCTTGCAGCTAATATTGAAAACTACCATAAACATAATATTTATACTAAAATAAAATTTTAATGTCATCTAAATTCTATGCAGATTTCTACCTGATATAATAAAATTTATTTATTTAAAAAGATTTCTGGTTTAATTCATTTCATAATGCTAATTAAAAAAAGTATATTGTATTATTTTTTTTCT